CTCTGCTAATCCAACATTTTATTTATCACGTAAATTAATAACGATAAATTGTGTGTTCTTAGTACATTCTTTAATAATGTTGAAAACGATTGAAACATTGCGAAAATCTAAGACTGCATCAATCTCATCCATAACATATAAGGGTGTAGGTTTGAAATAGTGTAGAGCAAATATCAAAGCCAAAGAATTAAGTTTCTGTATTTTGACAAAATATCATTACATGTCAAGTATAGTTAAATGACATTGAAAAACATATGAAATATCTTTTTTCCACCAGAAATATGTTCCCAACTCTTTTTTCAGCGACATAATACTAAAATAATACCTTTAGAAAAAGGATCCAAATTGTCGCAACGTTCAAATTCAGAATTTTCTCCAAGATTAATCATCTAAATAAAAAAACTTATTTATATTTTATGTAACATATGTTGAGATAAAAGGTGCTATTTAGATACCTGATACATTTCTTTGAAATTCCAAGATATTAAAGTAAACCTATGCATGAATTCTACCAATTGTTGCTTTCTTAATCCATAATATTCCTCTTTACATTCATCACGTTTAGATCAAGATCTCTAATACGTGACAAATACTCTTTCTCACAAATCATTTATAATAAATGGTAGAATGAGTATATTAAAAAATATTATAGCATGTTTTACCCAATCTCATGAAGTGTAAGTTATCTAAGAGAATTTCGCTGATGAATTTCTTTCTGTTTAATTTGTGTTCACTAACTTCGAGCTGTGTTTTGATTTTTAATTAATACAATACATAGTGTGATTGGTTATAGAAAAAGATTTGACGTAATGTTAAGAGAATAATAAAAATAAAAAAATAAACCTCAATTGTTCAAAATCTGATTAATTATTTCAGTTTTTTCATCTGCTCATATTTAATACTTCTTTTTACTTTCCATATCAAAATAATTATATATAGATATATATTTTTAAACATTAATCTGAATAAATACTGATTGACTTTAATACGAATGGAACGAAAAACTTTGATTTTCTATTGAATTTCTTTTGTAAGCTCTTCTATTTTATTATTTAATTCTTTTTCACATTTTGCTAGAGAATTTTCGAT